TTCTTGATAGATAACCCTGGTTTTTGTTAGTTTTCGCCAGTTAGGGGAATACGCATGGAGCAATGGATCGATCTGTATCGAAGGGTGTGGTGAAGCAGGACAGGGCCCTACATAGGCCATAGTGCCTGCCACTCATGTTATTTCTTTGTTTTAGATTCTTTTTAAAAAACTTAACGAACCGCATCCTCTGAGAAATTAAAAAGTATACACGGTGATACACACCTCTGCCTTGTGAGGCATTTTAATTAACTAAAACTATACTCATCCTTAAATTTCCTTTAAGAAATTTTACCATTTTATGGAGGGATATTTGAATAATTTAAAATGAAGAAGGAAGACATTGTGCTAAGAAGAAAAAAATATTAAATAAGATTTTTTTTTTGCATTAAAATATGCTAATAACCATAAAAAGTTGGACTAAAAGAATAAAAGACCTTCTTCTAGATTAATTTTTTTTTGTGGGGAGGGGGTAGGTGGTGGGGGGGGCAATGATCATCCAACTAAATGAAAAATCAATAAGATAATTTAAAAACAATAATTTCAACTGGAAGATAAATTATAGTTATTTATATATTTTATTCCATCATTGCAATATTCCAGCTTGTTATAATCTAATATCTACATGAATAAAAGAAATCATCTGTCTAAACTATCAACTAAAATAAGCTAGGCATATCCTATGTTTTATTTACATGAAAAACACATAGAAGTCAATGGGTGTAGTTTGAGATTTTCACCTCTATAGTGGCGATTAAAAAAACATTAAAGAAAAAATTATAATCCTTTAAAATATTTAGATTAAACTCAAACATGTATCCAATGGGCAAATAATTTTTTTGTACCTTTGTTATTGAACAGAGATTTAAGTCACTAAAATGAGGCCACCCAATGAAAAGGGTCATAGGTATATATTTTGGCTACCACATTAAACAAATCATTCTGGTGAATGAAAAAAAACTATCTGCCCAAATGTTTGGATTATTCTGATACTGAAGCTGTCTTCTCTTGTCTGGCTTGCTTGAAATGTTTCCACAGATACAGTCCCAGAAGTCCTGATGCCAAATAAGTCACAATTACATACTGCAAGAGAAAAGAACTTAAGCATGAGCAAAAGTGCCTGATTCTAAAAATATTTATTACATTTAAAGGAACTTTTTAGAGAAAAAATAACTACTAATTACATTCTTGATAATGTTTGATTAAATTTAAGTAGTGGCATGAAAATATGTCCTAATGTTTCTGTTGCAATGTTACATTTGTTATACATGGAATATAGCAATCGACTGAGAAATGTTCTAAATGTTATCTAACATTTGATACCGGCTACTCAATAAATAAAATTCCCTCGATTTAACATTATCAAAAAACAAAACAAAAAAGTCCAACATTTCCATTTCTGTATTAAGGATGGCTGACTGAAAAAAATAGTAAAAATATATCCTAAATATGGCCTATTATTTCTTCTTTTAAAAACAAGTTTTGTGAGTCTTGGAAACGGACTTTGGCAACAATGAATATCTAATGATTTTTGCTTCATAATTTACAATTCTAAGACTCAATCTGATTCAGTTTTCATATACTTTTTAATGAGGTTATAAAACAACACATAATTCCTATGAATTTGAATTAATGTAAACTTTAGAAAATCATTTACATTTAAGCGTCCTTCCTTCGTGCAGGTGCTAAAATGTCTTCGCCAACCTTTTAGTTCGAGATTCTTTCTCTCTATACTTTCATAATCTCCTTTTGTTCTGCAATGAAATGAGAAATCTATGTAAACAGAATTATTTGTATTATTTTTTTACTTTGTTATGTGGATGTTCTGTGTAAATAAAAATGCATTTATTAATTGCAAAAACGTTATAAATTTCAATTGAATATTTCAAATACTCACAGGTAAACAAAATTTCAGACAACAAGAAATTATAAAATAGTAAAAAGTTACTGATTTTTTTTTTACCCAAGCCATGTAAACAAGCTTGAGACACTGGTCATTGCAGGTATTTTGGGAGCACCTGTGGCAGTAGTCAGAGGGTCAGCTGGCATTCTGCAAATACATTTTTAAAAAGCAAACATTATTATAATAATAAACCTTTCTAAAATGAATGAAATTTAGTTTAGTTTTTTTTTCCAAAATTATTTAAACAATATTTTCTTCTATATCATCTTAAACATCTAAGTAAACTTCTAATGATAAAATACAAAATTATAACTAAGCAACGTACTGCGTGTCGCACTTAACTGTAAGATTAAGAATGCAACCAAATAAATGAGCCCAAATTAAATGTATATAATTTTAATAGCCCTAATTCCCTAATCTTTATGCTAAGGCCCATGATATTAAAATAAATATTTAGAGACCCAAGTACCAAATAAATAATTTTAAAATTATATTATCAACATGTAGGTCTAGGGCACCAGATTTGAACCTGCGGCTAGCGAGCTGCATCCAGTATTTTGATATTTCTCATTTAGCTCTGGAATACTACTAATTAATAAACCAAAATTTAATATTTGGCGCTTTGGCATTAAAAGGTTCCCGACCCCAAACCTTAGGCCCAGGACTAGAATTTATTATAATTTAATATAAGTTCTACTATTAAAAGCCTATTTAAAATATTAGTCTAGTGCTGTGGTTCTCAAAGTAGATGGTGGCTTCCCAACCCCACCAGGGGGTGGTAGGTTTGTCCAAGGGGGCGCAGGAAGGCTTAAAAAATTTTAGGGGGCACCAGAACCATCAAAAGTTGTGGAGGCCATATTGGGAAGCTATATTTTAAAATATAAATTGATATATTTCAAAGAAAGTTTAAGCTCCCGGGTCCGAATAGTGGCGATGCGCTTCCAGTTCCATTTTGACTAAATGCTATTTGGATGTCATTTGTGGTAGTTTATTTTAGTTAAACTGAAGAAGTAAGTTTACAACCATATAGATAGTCTATTCAATAATCTTTTATTTGATACCAAATTTTGTCTTACAAACACTACATTAATTTTTAATTATTTTTTAATAAACCAAAACTCTCACTTCTCGGACCCAGGTCCGAATAGCCGCAGCCTTAAATTGGCCTAACAGTAGAGGCGTAGCGAGAGGGTTTGGCGCAGAGGGACAAGATTTGCGCTAAGGGACAAGATTCATTTTAAAGCTCCCCCTTTTATTTTTTCAACTCTCAAACCCATAATTTTCATCAATTATATAATATCAAAGCACATTTTGGCGCCCCTAACAAGCTGTCCCCCAGGGAATCTGTCCCCACTGCCCCCCACTTCGCTATGGCTATGCCTCTGCCTAACCAGGCTAATATATTTCAAGATTCTAGGTTATAGCTATAAATAGAGAATAGTTGACAGTGATTAGACAGCAATCTTGAATAACAATAATATCAACAAATGAATAACAATGAATTGTTATCAGTATTATCAGTACTCCTCTCACTCTCAAAATAAAATAAAGTATTTAAAATATTTTATTAATTACAGCTTATAATTTATAATCAATCAAATCAATGTACACACGGTAATATATCGTTAATGAGGCAGGTGCATACCTATAACGAGGCAGGTGTGTCTTATCCTCAGAAAAATAGAAGATAGAAGCATAACCTTATTATTTGGTGCTTTTTTTTTTATTGCAAAATAAAATTTAAAATTACATAACGAAGGCAAGAGAAGTCATTTGGACGAGAGTTATATAATTAATAATTCAAATTGATCAATAAGCGTCTTGTTATTTTGCTGTTAGGTTGGCTCTTGAAAATGGCAGAGTTTTATAATTTTTTATAATTATTCTTTTATTTTTAAATAGATTTTTGATTGATGTATATATTTTTTTTTTACCTTTCATGCCATTTTATAATAAACAGTGATACATTTTTAAAAGAAATTAATCCGTAAATTAGAAATCAACTTTCGCCTTTTTAAGTATTTAAAAAATAAAAAATTCTAACCTTCAAAGATTCAACAAGGAATAGACCTAATATATTCTTTTTTCTTCGTCTTTTTTTTTTTTTTTTTAAATCAGAATTGCCAACTTTTTATAAATTTATATTCATTTTGAAAAAATGGCATAAAAATGTCCTGTCCGTAAAAAATTAAAGATATCAGCTAAAAATAATGATTTTTAAAATGTGTAAAACATTGACAAGTTTTAAAATAATTGTCTGTTGTACGGTTGGTAACTAGGTTAATATAAATATTCATATTTAAAAACTTCTCGCAGCATTAAAGAAAAACATATAAAATATTGAATCGCGAAAAAGTAATAGAAAATAATTAATTTAAAATAAGTCTTCACAATTTAGACTAAAATAAATTTAATGGAAAAATTCAGTATGGGTGTTTTTTCTTCCATTAATTAACTCGTTCTAAACTTGTTTGCCAATATATAAAGTTTTAAAAAGTTCACTACAAAGCATCTGCACCAATTAATAAAAATGCAATAAACCTGTTTTTGGGGATCCCATGGGTAAGGAACACTGGTCTAGGTCTCTAGCAAAATAAGTAATCTTAAAAAAACAATGTCAAGTCTACATTTAAAGCCTGAATGAAGCAAGTATTTTGGGGTTGTAGGGGAAAAATAATGATAAGAAGTAGAAGGTTCAAGTTCAAGTGTTTAACTGATTATATGCTGCATGACATATTATTTTTAAAGAAACAAAATTAAATTGTTTTCATATTTTTAAATTAATTAATAGGTTAATAATGTGTTTAAGTGCGTTTTAATTTATTTCTTGCCGAACAAGATGTTATGGTGGAAAATCTGGCAATGTCTATTGTATTGCTTTCGGTTTATTACTGGACTGTACTTTGGTACTTGAGAAATTGTCTATATCTTTGGTGCTTCCAATAAGTTCCAGATTCATATAATATATTTATTAATTTATCATATTTAACTAAATAAATGACTTGAAATCACAGCGACCGACATATAGCTATATAATTATAAAAGTAAGTTGAATTTATAATTTGCTGCATTATTTTCTGATGTGACTAAATTTTGTCTGAATCGGCCCGTGGACTACGACTACGGTGCACGCTGCACAGCAAAGTGCACTTATACATTCAGGTATTATCCTGTGTATTTAACTGCATTGTGCATAAGAATGATTTTGTTTCTTGTTGACATTAGGCATTTGGCATATTCCCTAACTATTTGACTATTACTATATTATATTAATTATTAACAATTATATTAACAATCATTTCCCATTGTTTTGCAGTCTTATTTGTTATTAACTCATGATTGATAATGATATCTGATAATAATTTGCATTGTTTTGCCAAGGCCAAAGCCAAGATGATAATTGAAATGATGGTTATTTAAGAGAGAGCGGCCCACATCTATTTCCATGGCCGCCAATAATTCATGTTTGCTAAAACGAAGTGTCTACAGTCTCCGGACGTGTAGTGCGCAAGATATACGTCCGGCGGCTTGTCACGTGACCGCCGGACGTGGCCGGACGGCTAGTAGTTTTTATAATTCCAAACCAAGTATGAATTAGTACATCTTGTGTGGTCTTGTGGTAGAGTGGTTGCTTGACGATAGGAAGGTTTGAGGATCTATATCGGGAATAGGGTTGTTTTTTTTTCTTCCCATTTTAATTAAAAATATTTTGTATATATTTATTTTATCATTTTCCTCAGCAATGGTAGTTTCATGAGAATTTTTAAAATATTTTGTAGCAATTGAAACAATTTAAAATGAAATCTTTTACTTTTATTGGTTGCCTACTCCACACTGGCCCCTAATTTATTTTATGGATTACTGGTACACAAATTCAAATAACAAACTAAACAAAAATGTTTACAAGCCACTTTCACTTAAGTTTTTTTTTCTCTATTATTTGCATTCAAGATACTCAGTACATTACTTGGTAGAGAAATAGATTTTAAAATTAACAATAGTTTTGAATTATTCGCAGTCACGTGACAAGGCTGACCGACAAGATATCTCTCTCCACTTTGTTACGGCAGTCATGTGACTTGGTCGCCGGACAAATAGTGCGGGAGATAGACGTCCGGCGCGCCGGACGTGTAGACACTGCCTTGCTAAAATTAGGAAGAAAACGTTAAAAATGTATGAATAAAATGTCATAAATCGATTCCTATGCCTAACCTGACCCTAAATCTATCCCTAACCCTAAATCTATCCCTATGCCTAACCCTAACCCTAAATCGATCCCTATGCCTAACCCTAAATCTATCCCTATGCCTAACCCTAGCTCTAAATCGATCCCTATGACCTATGCCTTACCCTAACCCTAAATCGATCCCTAAGCCTAACCTGAACCCTAAAAATTAGCCGTAAATCAACAAGTGAAACCACGTGGAATTTCACACTTTGGCAAGAAAACTATAAAAATTAACAAAAAACAATAAAAAAGGGCCCCAAATAATTATAAACTAAAGAAATAATGAAAATCCAACTTACAGTTTCATGAAATACACTTTTACACACTTTATTTCAGGTTGCAACGAAAATATAGCCACAAAATGAATAAATCTCCACACCCTACAGGCACCCCAAAGATATCAAATATGGCGGAACAAAAGAAATATGATAATGAGCCAACCAATGAAAATTTTAAAATTATAATTAATCAACCAATAACATTTTAATTCCGAAAATGTAACTCTTTTAACAAATAATGAGAAAAAAATAAGGGGAGTGAATCCAAAACAAAGTCGTCGTGGGCCGCTCAATCTGAAACAGCGAAATGGTTAATTTATACTATAAATTATAGTGATTTTAAAGATTATGGTCTTATATTTATTTTCTATTTTATTTCTTAATGTTCCATTTAGAGGCCAATTTACTAGAGCTAGATTCAGGGTTGTTTGCTCATAATGTTTATTATTTATGATTATAAATTTTTTCGAAGTGGTTGCGTGCACTGCTTCAAAAATGTACCATTGGCCTGGTTTTAAGATATGCCTGTTAGATAAGATCTTGTGTGGTCTTGTAGTAGACGCTAGGCGATATTATATGTTGTGATCAATTCCCAGTAGGGGGTCAAGTTTTTATATTTTTTCCATTTTAATTAATTAAAAATATTTAAATTATTATGTTCATTTGCAGCAGTAGTTTCATGAGAAGGTATTAAATATTTTGTAGCAATTTAAACATTTTAAATATAATATGTTACAGATTATCAAGTGTTTCAACAAGTTGTGGCGGCCTTTGACTTTGAAATAGTGGTAGTAATAAGACATTAGAAAAAAACTGAAAGTGCATGTATAGTGTATGTAACATGGTTAAGAGAACCATTTTGAATACTAAGCGATATTTTATTTCAACATTCTTCATCTAATTGTATATTTACATTTTACTTTTATGAACACACAAAGAAAATTCCAGTATATCATATGAATATTGATGTGCCTGGTCATATTTCAACCATCTTGCTTTCACTATGCATGGGAAAAAATTTACAGACGATATCCACGGTTCATTCACAATCCTCAGTCTCACAACAAATCTTTTGAAAACACCATGATTTTAGAAACTTAGGTGCGGTAGAAAACTGTATAACAAAGCCATAGGTCTGCGTTTACCCTGTTCATGATGGAATTTGTTTCCAGAATGGCATGGCATGTGCTATTCTCAGGGTAAAACACGACGTTGCCTCACAGAAACCATTGCACAATGCGCTTGGGACAGGATTTGTGCTATTTCAAAGTTTTTGTAGTTGTTGTTTTTTGTTAAGAAATTGATCAGTGCCGCGGGTGGGGTGAGTTAAGGGCAGACTCTTATCCAAAAAGGGAGCCTACACAAATCACGGCTCTGGATAGGGGTTGTCCACAAAGGAAAGGTCGTCTGCATAACAAATCTACCTTTTGAATAACCCCCCCCCCCCCAACCGTGGAGGGGGGTTGCTGATGTCCCCCAACATTTGTTAAAAGACTTTCAAAAATCACTGCAGTGTTTCATATTTATCATACTCCAATAAATATTAAGAATGGGGGGGGTGAGTTAAGGGGAGACTCTTATCCAAAAAGGGAGCCTACACAAATCCCGGCTCTGGATAGGGGTTGTCCAAAAAGGAAAGGTCGTCTGCATAACAAATCTACCTTTTGAATAACCCCCCCCCCCCCCAACCGTGGAGGGGGGTTGCTGATGTCCACCAACATTTGTTAAAAGACTTTCAAAAATCACTGCAGTGTTTCATATTTATCATCATCCAATAAATATTAAGAAATGCTCTTTACAAGTACTTTGCCACAAAAGTGTGGAACTTACCCAATATCTTCCTCCAAAGGTATTAAATGATTTTTAAATAAATAGTTTTCAGTTTTAACAACAGTATAAAATAAAATCTACAAGTACCAGTTAAGCCAAAAAGTTAAAAACTCGCAAAGACCATTGTTTTGCTGCTTTAAATCACCGTGATGTATGCAGTCCACAGCCAATGATTTTGCTAGGTACACCGCCAAGTTGTACGTAGTACCGGCCTAATTTTTTAAAAGAAAAGTTTGAACATTAGTCAGTAGTCACTAAGTTAGCGCAATCAGACCTTTTGTGTTAAATAAGACTACAGTCTATAGCCATACTCCAAACTATGACTATGGGTATTTAATTTTGCCCTAAAAAAAGGCAAAGTAAGTGGTCATATCTATAGTCTATATTTAATATTTATTTTAAAGTTAATTTTTGGCTGATTTTGTTGTGATAATTTTTATAAAAAGTGTGCCTAATAGATGAAATGCAATTTATTTTTCATTCAAAGTATAATGAGAGTTATAATTTATGGCTGACTTAAAAAATGTGTTAAATGTATGTTCGAACAGCTTCAATTACCATGGCAGCAAACAGTGGTGACAATTACTTCAGCAGTTACAATGACTTAAGTGTGCATGAACTGATGCTGAAAGATCGACCTCGAACATTAGCCTACAGAAACTTTTTTGAGACGAACCGGGAACTTGTAAAGGATAAAGTTGTTCTGGATGTAGGTGCTGGCACTGGAATTCTGTCACTTTTTGCTGCCTTAGGTAAGTACATTTATTTTAATTTTATTATTTTGTCACTTTGTCTTTATATTAATAAGCTTTTCCTGTGGCTTATTTGTTCTTGTTAAAAGCAAATAAATTTAGTTTAAATATTCATATGTACTTTTGAATTTTACCATGATCAAATGTTTTTAATCTAAATGTTCTTAAATTATATCTATAATTAATAAGTTTTAAAATGAAACGAGTTATTTTTAATGAAATTCTGAACACTTTAATGTTTGACTATTAAAATTTAATCAGTAAAACACACACAATTAATGTCTTGCAAGGCTTCTTAGTAATTTCGGACAACTTCTTAGTTCACATGTCAATTCTGACATAAAGTCAGCCATATGGCACTATGCTAACTTTGCATGCCTAGCTTTAGATCTGTCATAGCCTTGTCTTTAGCTTTGGGTGTATAGCTTAGTGAAATGGAATAGTTCGCCCAGTGAAGCAGCTGTCCTTTAGGAGGAGCTAAACTATAAGTAAAAACTTGAACAATTAACATAATGTTTAGATGAACTTTATTTTTTTTTGGGGCTATCAATTATTTGTATTGAGTGTTTTATTTTGTGTTTCTGTGCACCATCAGATATTTCCAAGCACTCTCCATTGATTGTATCTAAAATTATACAGTTGTATAGTTTTAGAAATATCTCCCAAGTTAGTTAATTTCGACTCCCTTTTAAAAAAAAAACATGTTAAAAAACCAGTAAATTGGGTTGAAGATTTTGTTAGCTATTAGCTATTATGATAGATGTATTACTTTCTCTTTCTTTTCTTTACTACATTTCTTCATGAGAAAATGTTTTGACACTTTACATCAAAACTTAGACTTAACTTCTTTCCCAATGTTTTAAATTGAAATATTTCAGTCTCTTTTCCTATTATTACACTTCAAATTCCGACCATTAACTCTGACAAGTCATTGACATACACAAAAGGGATTTTGCTCCATAATTTTTTTTGTGGGACATTACTATTTTAAGAGATGTTTTGGGCTTCAGTCCATTCAATCATAGCACATGACTTGTGTACCCAATACAAAAATAACTTGAAATCTCATGTTTGTGTGATGTAATCAGACAGTTTGCCATGACATTAGTCGCCATGTAGAATTGATACTATTAGTTCGAGACTGTTATTTGTCTAGCCATATGCATATTTAATTTACTAGAGTCCTGGCTACTTATTATCCCTGCTCTGCCCATTCCATGAGTTTCATAGGATTAACAAAAGCTAAAGACCCCTTTTTAATGTTTGCATGAGCTTAAATGGGAGGTAATCAACCTTTGTTGCTTGACTTACATTTCTTCTCTCTTTAAGAAATGAAAAAAAATGCTGTGTGCTGATTCTAATGCTTTCATATGTCAGTGTATTGTTTTATTATGCTGCCTTGTTGATCCATATAAAGAAGCATCTCACAATAATGGCTACTTGCTTAAAGGCGTTTGGCAATAGAGAAAGGAAATGCATAAACTGATAGACGCTATCACCGAAATGCATTGCAGTGTATTGTGATCCACATGGTCAGTCTGTTCGCAGTCTTTGTGCGTATTTCACAATTTTCCAAACTAAAATAAATATACAAATAGATATTTAAAGGTAAACATTGTGTAAATTTCACTTTCCATCGTTTTTCACTTAACAATAAGTGTCCGGCCCCAACTGCACCGTTATTGCAAGTTACTGCTGTATCTTGATTCTCTTCTTGGCAAGTTCTGTTGGTTGTTTGTGACACAGAGTCATCTGAAGTCAGATTTGGTAAATCCTTTATCAAGAGTTCAGCCAATGGCCAAGATTCAATACTGATGTCCGTGTGTAGTGTGTAATATGATTTTTTAAACTAAGATAAGTGTTGGTTGCTTGTAAGTGTGTTGATGGGAGATGACTGGATGAGTTGGTTGGTATGTCAGCATTTCAACTCAGTTTTGACTTCATTTACAGTTGTTTATTGGGGCTTTATGGTTTGATTGGTTTTTCATTTCCATCCACATTTTTCCTGTAATATAATATGACTTCGGTTAAGCTTTATAAAAAAAAAACAATTCAGTAATTTGTTTAAATTAACTCACACTGAACATACAAATTATTGATGTAACCTTTTCAAGGGCATCTCAATATGTTCTTTTGATTTGCATTTTTAAATAATTTTTTTTCTTGAAATTAATTAAAGATGCATTTTAAAGATTTTATTCATATACTGGATTTGTGATATTTGGTTATAGCGTGACTCGTCAAAGTATATTTGCACTTAAGACATTTAACATATCAATTGGGGACAATCTTTTATAAAATAAACAACCCTCTTAAAAATTGTTTGAATGCATGGATTACTTTGCTCATAAAAGGGATATGACTTGCAGCAGTGTAGTTTATGCGTTCCCAAACAATTTGCTTCCTCACAAGAGCACTGCAAAGCTAAAAACTGGGATGCAGCAAGAGCGCCTTGACTTGAAAAAGTTTGGGAACCTCTGGTATATTTTTCTGATATTATTTGTGTGCCGTAAACCCTTATCTCCAGTATTCATAGTTAATGTTCTTCTTGTAAAAAAATATAGAAAAAGAATGTGACAGATTTTTCCCTGCAGACATGATAACAGCCAAAACCCTTATTTTCCAGCTGGCGCCAAAAAGGTATATGCGGTGGAGGCTAGCGGCATGGCCAGTTTGTGTCGGGAGATAGTTGAAGAAAACCACCTGGAGAACATCATCGAGGTCATCCATGGGGCCGTGGAGGACGTATCTCTGACAGGTCACACTAAGGTAGATGTCATAGTCTCCGAGTGGATGGGATTTTACCTGCTCCACGAGTCCATGCTGGACTCTGTCATTGTGGCCAGGGACAGATTTTTGGCACCAAATGGAATATTGGCTCCATCACATGCCACCTTGTACATGGCTCCTGTCGACATGTCAGACCATTTCCGTGAGAGGGCCGAGGAGTGGAGCAACATTTACGGGTTTGATTTCTCCCCCTTTGCTTCACAACTAAACATGGACGAAGTTTCAAAGCCTTTGATTCAGTGCATCAGCCCCAGCACCCTGCGTGCCGACCCTCAGGAAGTTCTTACATTAAACATGAAAACTGTTACGCTGGCGGATGTCAGAAAGTTTAGCACGACCTTGACATTTCCAATAAAGTGCGACTCAAAAATTTTCGCTTTTGCCGCCTGGTTTAACATTAGCTTTTGTGTTGATGGCATCGCTGACACTTTGGTTTCCTCGCCGAAGGATGGAGCCCCACAGAAACGGCCACGTGACTTGGTTAATGAAATGGGGGACGCCAGTTGTCTTAACGCTTCAAGTTGCGGTAAGCACACATCCAAGGGAAGCAATACCAACTCACCGGACAGTGCCACCGCATCATCACTCTGCCAGGCCCACCCAAACCAGAAACATCCGTCACCCGACAAGGACTCTAATGTAACCTTGAAGACTGGCCCACTTGACCCACCAACCCACTGGAAGCAGACGGTCATCTTCCTGCCCCAGACCATCCTGGTGGAGAGCGGTGTCAGCCTGTGCAGCTGGGTGAAGATGGCCCAGGACCCTGAGAACAGACGTCACTACAACATCACACTCCAGCTGGTGGAGGACGACAGCGGGGAGTGCCTCGACTCGGACGACGGCACCGACCCGGGCTCTGACACCGCCAGCGATGAGGGCAACGAGGGCGACCACCCGGTCCCTTGTTCGTGTGGATCTGACCGTTGTAAACTGATGGCCGCCCTGGTCAGCCGGATGGACCGAGAACACCAGGATCTCGGGGACGAGGCTGAGACCGTTGAGTTGGAGGCTCAGGTGAATAACAAATAGGTTAAGGGCCTTTGACCATTGACTTCCATTGTTCCCAATCGAGGTTAGTTATCCCTGACAATTGATGGCGATATAGAATGGGGATGGTTTATTGACCATGGGCTCCCAGTTTTAGCTTGGTTGAGTACCTGACCAATCGGTCCTATTTCAGAAATAGTTTGTCTTATTTTGCAGAAAAATATAGAACATCAAGTAAGAGTACCTTTTTTTTAAAATATTAGTAGTCAATCAGATGTAACCAATGCTCATTAGACATGTGGACATCATTAACCTAAATGCAAAGGAAAGTACGTACTGGAACAAAGGAATATAACAAAAGCGGATATTTATTCTTGTTCATTTCAATTCTGTTTGTGTGTTTGTTGTGGCCAGAAAGGGGGGGGGGGCGGTGGCCAAAGTGGTTCCATGTGTAAATATTCAAGACTGGAGCTGGCACCGATGTGAAGGAATAGACCTCCCCTCAACACCCACCTACCCCCCCCCTTCCCCAAACCTCCAACAAGAATTATGAAAAACATCCGTCCACACCTTTTATCAATTAAGTTAGACTGAGTGTTTACTTTCTTCAACCCGGAACCTTGGAAGTTTGACTCCCCCCTCCCCCCCCCCCCCCAATT